TCCAGGGCCTGAGCCAGACTGGTAAAAGGAATGACGAGTAAGAGAAATTGTTAACACTATATGATGGCAACAATATTGTAGTAAGAGATTTTAAAGTAAGGGATACAAGCATCCTTTTAAGTGACATGATTGGTGTTTAGTCATCGAGGTCTTATAATATTACAATATTGTGTCTGAATATTATATGTTCCATTATGTTTTAATATTATTTGTTGTTTGCTTTTGTCTGTAACTCATTTTAATCTTGTGAGACTCCTTGAATCCCAGTTTAGGAGAAAAGTGAGGTATAAATAAGGTAAATAAATAAATGGTAACTGTTTGGAAATCTTGAGAAACTGATTCTTATTCTAATGGCCAGTGTCAGGATCTGCTTATCCATTCTTAGTTGACTTACAGTGTTCAGATAGTAACATTGGCAACATGGGATCCTTTTCCATTCACCATGCTGCTCCTCTTTATTAGCTCCTGATGATGGCATCCTTCAGTTTTGAAAGACTATACGTCAGCTTCTTATTGAGCCATACTCTCTTTGTGAGTCTTGAGAACATGGTAGCTGCTTTCCCGATGCGTTTATCCAGCTCGACATCTAGAGAGAGGGTGTCAGAGATTGTTGAGCCAAGGTACACAAAGTCATGAACAATCTCCAATTCTTGTGTAGAGATGGTAATAGAGGGAGGTGAGTCCACGCCCTGGCCCATGACTTGTGTTTTTTTCAGGCTGATTGTTAGTCCAAAGTCTTGACAGGCCTTGCTAAAACTTGCTAAAACGATTCATGAGTTGTTGGAGGTCTTCAGCAGAATGGACAACAATGGCTGCATCATCTGCGAAGAGGAAGTCCTGTATGCATTTCAGTTGGACTTTGGTCTTTGCTCTCAGTCTAGAGAGTTTAAAGAGTTTTCTGTATGATCTAGTCCGGAGATAGACACCTTCTGTTGCAGCTCCAAAGGCCTGCTTCAGCATGACAGCAAATAAGATCCCAAAAAGGGTTGGTGCGAGGACACAGCCCTGTTTCACTCCGCTTCGGATGTCAAAGGGATCTGATGTTGAGCCATCAAAAACTACAGTGCCTTTCATTCCCTTATGGAAGGACCTGATGATGTTAAGGAGTCGAGGTGGACATCCAATCTTGGGAAGTATTTTAAAAAGGCCATCCCTGCTAACCAAATTAGCCCCTACAGATGCTGAAAAAGTTATATCTGCGGATGGGTAAAAACAATTATCATCTCCTCTCTGACTGTTGTCAAATTTCTTCCAGTTCTAGCTCGTGAAGAAGTACTTTCTCCAAAATGTGTCAGCCATTAAATAGAAATTAAATCTTGTTTCAACAGACCAGAATGTTTGCTTTTTAAGCTCTATTCAGGCTTTTCTTTTCCCTTCTTTTTAAAAAAGAGTTTATTTGAAAATATGAGAAGGAAAGGTTTCTAGTCCTCCTTCCTGTCACAGTCTTTATGGGGTGAGGGACGATCTGGAGAGGAAAACTGCAGATCTCCCACCCATGGGAAGAGATCCCAGGTATAGCAGAATACATCCTCTTCAGAATGTCCTCCATGGACCCATTAACAAGCAGGGGTTGGGCTAGAAGGCTCTCCCTGCTCGCACTTCGCTGTTTACTCTTTTAAAAGTCCTAAATATAGCCTTTCTCTTTCCCATTTGGATACAGATTTTCTCTACTTGTTGTCCTTTAAAACCACATTGCAGGGGACACATCATGACTAGAGATCATACGAATACCCCCATCTCTGTACTGGAGTATTTGTATACAAATACCCTGCACAGCTGGACTTAGCAAGGGTCCGGCCCCTGGGGCTGGTCCGTCCAGTCATGTGTTCAGCAGCGGCAGCAACCTTGGTCAGCCTTCCAATCGCCTGCTCTCTTTCTGCTCATCTAGCCACTCAGCAGCGGTGCAGGGAGACTCGTTCTCCCTCCCCCTGCCTAGAGTTGGCCAGATAAGAGGAAAGAGAGTGATGCTCTGGGAGCTATTGGAAATCTGCTGCTGCTGTTGGACAAGTGAGTGGACAGCCCTGCCCCATGGGGCCGGACCCTCATTAAGTCCAGCTGTGCAGGGGCATTTGTATTCCTATACGAATACCCCCATCTCTAATCATGATCAGTGAAACTGAAGAGAGGATTACAATCAAACTCCAACCTCTGCCTTGTCAGTGTACATACTAGAATATGCATGACGAGATACATAATACAAAGTAATAAAATTGTCTTATAGGTACATTATTTAAAGGCAAGTTCTGGGAACGACTAACATAAGGACTGTATAGTACTGGGAGGGAGAAAAGTCTATATATAAACACTTTTAAAGATTGTTTAATCATTTTAAGCAATAAATGAATTATAAGACAGAAGCCATATGAGCACTGCTCCCAGTAAATCTAAAAAATACCCAGTGTAATCCATTTTTCTAATAGTCAATAAACCACCCAAAGGAAGTAACACTGGTGGGAAGAAAATAGATGGCAGACTCACTACCCCTTGCATCTGTATTCATTTTTATGATGGTGGGAATGATATATGTGATAAACTACTCACCTGTTTAGACAAGCATTCAAATTTATTGCAACGATCATTAGTGTGCCCTCTTTACAATAGAATAAAAAGCTCAAAGCCCAAACTGGAGCAATAAATAGCTTATCCAATCTCAGTGGCTGACATATAGATCTATGTTCCAGGCCTCAACTTTCCAAGTTCACTTAAAACTATTTCTTAAAGCTGTTGAGAGAATGGCAGCAAAGCATATTACAGTATTATTGTAATATAACTGTGCAATACTATGCTAATGTAACTGCGGTTAATCAGGATTTATTAATGATAAATTTTAATATAGGGTATTATTATAATATTGCCTGTTTTTAATGGTTTTAATGTTTTTCTAAAGTTTGTTGTTGATGTACATCGCTCGAGACCATTGGTAATGGCATGGCTAAAAAATCTTGCAAATAAATAAATAAATAAATAAATAAATAAATAAATAAATAAATAAATAAATAAATAAATAAATAAATAAATAAATAATCTGAACTATGTATTTGTTCTTATCTGAGAACTGTTCTATTTAACAAGTTATATTTAATGTCAGTATTTGTTCTTATCTGAGAAGTGTTCTATTTAACAAGTTATATTTAATGTCAGAAATACAATGAATTTCATTTTCTGTAGGTTTTATGTATTTATTTTTACATTTCTTCTGAATGTTAGCATCACCAAATACAGTTTTTCCCCCAAGGTAAATCGTAGTGTCACCTAGTTTCCTTCTGCTACATGACTAAATTTCATCTGAATAGCTTTGTGATAAAAAAAAATTATAATGAAAGTAAAACTAAATGTGACAAAGTGCAACCATATTAATGTATCTCATCTTCTCAAGTTGGAGAGGATTCTAGTAGTGTATTCTTTTTGGTACTTGAAAGCAGACGTGGTAACACATGTGAAATGTTAAAAATGAACAGTAATTGCCAACATCAAAATTTGCTGAGTTTCCACATGTACTCAGGGATGTTATATATACATTGTGAATTGCATGACTTAAGTTTTTATTGCAATCATAGCCTATTTTTTCAAATACAAAAGTCAGTAGCCAGAGTTATTAAGGGCCAATATAAAAATGCAAAGTGGGAAGACAATCAAGCTCTTGCAGGCTGCCCATTGCGTGAACCGTTGTGCAACCAGCCTTGCAACTGGTTTGAGAATGGACATGTGATGGGGAGCTTGCCAGAGCCAGGGAGGACACTTAATGCAGTTGCTCTTCTGTTTTGCATTAATAGGATATTGGTTGTTGTGGGTTTTTCAGGCTCTTAATAGGATATTGGTCAAAAAAAGGCAGAAGTCAATGCTAAAGTCATGATCGTTTTAACATCCTTAACAGAAGGCATAGAGCATTGATGTCAGCTGGTCCTATGTTGTGGTGTGGGGGAGACAGGTTGACAGATATCTTGACAAGTAATACTGATGAGATGGAGAAGTGCATCCAAGTTGGCAAATTTCAATAGAGAAGAATAGAAAGTTCTGTATTTAGGTAGGGTGGAAATAAGTAAAATGGGTGACATGTGCCATTACAGCAAGCGGCATCTGAGAAGAGGATCTCAGACTATTGGTAGACTGTGAGCTTGCTATGTTCATGTTATTAAGGGCCAATGCAAGTCTAGGCTGCATCAAGAGAAGCATAATGTCCACAAGGAATGGCTTGACTCCGTTCTGCTTTATTCAGGCCTCACTGGAAGTACTGGACAGTGCAGTTTAAGAAGGATACCAGTAAAGAGGAATGTGTCTAGTGGAATGCAACAATGATGATGAGAAACCTGGAGATCAGGGTTTCTGAGGAAAGATGGAAGGACTCAGGTCAAACAAAGTAACTCAGTAAGAGTTTGCGTCTAGATGTCTCAGCACATATTCCCCTGCATTTGTAAATGAGCTGTTCACTCACCTTGCCCTGGGCTGAATGTAAAAGTGCTGATGTTCCAACTGGCCAGCTGAGGTCAAGCAGGTGTGACAAAAGCCTTATTAATTTGTTGCCTACCCAGTTGCTATCAACACCTTTAGACAGGTGAGCCTAGTCCTTCCCCCTGCAATGCCACTTTCTCCAAGAGTAACATGAATGAAGAGGAAAAGGGTCCAGCTTGCATGCAGACACTACACAGAAACAAGAACCCATACTTCCCGGGATCCTGTCTTGTCTATTGACCCTATATGTTAGCAGCCGTTTCTTCTCTTCAATCATGTCAGCTTCCATGTGGAAAAAGCAATGACTGAGAGGGAGGATGAGGGGCTAGTCACTCTTTTCTAAGTGTATTGGTAACAGCCAGGTAGGTAATGACTGAATAGGGCTTATGTTTTTGAACATTTACTCTTATATCAAGATTCTCTCTCTAGTTAGCGTAACACAAGTGCCTTCCTTTTTTCATTTTCAAGTGTGAAGTGAATGGTTTTATCAGCATATGGTCTGTTTTTTTAAAAAAATTACAATGTTTACTCTTAATCCTCTCCATTTGCAGGAATACCAAATCGATATATTTTTTGCTCAGACATGGACGGACAGCCGTCTCCGTTTTAACAGCACCATGAAAAGAAGTTTGACCCTGAACAGCAATATGGTTGGGTTAATTTGGATCCCAGACACTATCTTCAGAAATTCTAAAACGGCAGAAGCTCATTGGATTACTACACCCAATCAGCTCTTGAGGATATGGAATGATGGGAAAATCTTGTACACTTTAAGGTAGGAAGTGAATGTTTCTGTCAATCACTGAGTGACATTCAATGAGTCCCTTCCCCCTCTCTCTTTTTTATTTTTATTTTTTACTGGAGGTTACTTTGATGTCATTTCAGTTTTATAAAATAATGTTTTGAGACAGAGACATTTTTGGTTTAAATTGCACATTGGACCATATCTTTCATTACAGAGAATCAATCAGACTGTTCAGCCAGCCTGGTGTTTGGAAAAAAAATTCTTTTCGGAGACCATGAGTCCCAGAATTCTCCATCCAACATGGCTATTAATAGATCTCTTACTCCCTCTTGGTGTAAAATCCTCTAACCTGTTTCCTTCCAAGCATTTCTGCTCAAATAATCCTGTCTGAATAGGAAAGTGAGAGGGCATCTGGAAACAAAAGATGAAGAGAGGGTGGCATGTCACTGGGTATGCCTGATTTTACCAACGTCCTTGCTCTCTCTTCAGAATGGCTCATTGAGAGTTTGGGGAAGTTTCTGTGCTACCCCCACCCTACTCCATGCTCCCTTAGTCTCTAGGTCCCAGTATCCCAGTGGCAGCATGGGCAATCTGTCACCTGTAATCCAGAAGTGCAACATCCCCAAACTCTCTTTATTACTTTAATGACTCACAGAAGATCTTGGACTGCTGCCCTGCACTAGCACTGTAAGTTGTCATAAAGGACATCTTTGCTGTTCTCCTTGTAAACTGCAGGCCTGTTGCAAAAAAATAAAAAAATAAAAAATGAAGTGAAGTGAAATGCTGTCAATTGTAGGTTTTCTGCTCTTCACCTGGAATTTCTCTGTCCATAAAGGTTGTCCAGTTACTTGAATGGAGGGGAAATTCCATGCACACAGGCATAAACTGCAGAATTAACTAAGCAACATGTAAGGCTAATTTTTAGACCACCATTCCCAGAAGTCACCAGTGAGCATTATGGAGCCTATAGTCCAAAACATTGCCTTCTCTCAGCTCTGATTATGGAGCATGTGAGCCAGGTATCAGCAGCTTATTCACCAGGCCCAAGTATTTTCTCTCCTTCATTCAAGTTTCAGTGTGGCGGCCCTGTCATATGTTTTTCTTTGAGGTCATGCCGGAGGGCAAAGGAACCCATCTGTTTCTGCAGCACCCAACATGCTGGTAAGAATATGAGCCAGAACTGCACTTGAAATTATATATGCTGACAAATGCATTGTTATCTGAAGCTATCCGAATATAAACTTTGAATAAGACCTATTAATAATCTCCCAGTTAATCCTCTACAATGTGTTCCTGTTAACAAGTTCTTTTCATTAATTTTTGTTTTTCACTTGTCATCATATGGAGGCTGTAATAGCTACCTGGTTTCTCTCCAGGCTTACCATCAATGCCGAATGCCAGCTGCAACTGCATAATTTCCCAATGGATAAACATTCCTGCCCGCTGATATTCTCCAGCTGTAAGTAATAGGCTTCTTGCATATCTGCTCTGCAAGGCTTTGCATTAAGGCACACATTTGCTGCTCATCTTGACAGGTGATTCAGGCTTGATACAATGGCACTGGATTAAGGGGCTCATTGGAGTGTTACTTGATGTGTATACGTCCTCCCATTTGCACTTACGGCCAGAGGTTTTTAGTCTGCAGCATTATGACAATAGGTGAGAAGTGTTCTTAATTCCCGGTCTTAATTATAACCGAACCAAGGTGCAATGACCTATAATAAAACACAAATTCTCTCTTCTAAGATGTGGGTTGTTGTGGCATGCCCTGTGAAAGAACCCCCATTCATCTTCGCTGGTGTTATGGGCGGGTGGCAAGGGGCATGGATGCAGCTCAAGTGTATAAGTCAACGCTGTACAGCATCAGTAGGTGAAGGGGAACGTTTTCTTTTTATTGCTTATATGCTTGCTTGTTTCCATTGGATACTACTATTTGTCTCTTTATGTGTGTATATGTGTGTAGGTGTACACGCGCACACACACACACACACACACACACACACACACACACACACGTATTCACTTGGAATTTCTCTGTCCATACATAGCCACAAATCTTGTCATTACAGAGTGAGCCTGCTAATTACAGTACCCTGCTACCAACAGGAATATCCTGGAGGTGAGGGATGTCATAGATCTTAATTAACATGTTGTCTCTGCTGTAGATTGTAAATGCAAATGCAAATGTTTCCCGGATCTGTCCAGCAGTGGTTTAGATGCTGGTGTTAAGCTGTGTTCATAGTATCCATTTCTTATGTGACAAACTTATGCTTAGATAACATGCATGGAAGATAATTCAAGGGAAACAATTTGTCATGTGACAGAATTCTTCAACAATGGGATCTATGGAGCAGCATTCCTTTATAAACACGTGCCCTCTCATGGAGCTATTCTTGACAGCCTGCAGAAACCCATCTGGTCTAGCATCACATGTGTGGTTGCAGCTTTTCTCTGAAATGTAATACATGTGGACAAGATGGCCCAGGCCAATTTGTAGTTGTTGCCTTTTCTTTTCTTGATAAATGTTTCATGGGACTACTGCAGTATTTCCATTGGCAATGCAGCCTGCAAAACTGGATTTTTACTATAGAAGTGGCTCTCAATTTGTGACACGTTTACCACTGGTGGGACATAAGGCAAGCCTAGCTGTGGTGCAGCATTTCATTAATATGAAACAATGAAACAATTATTTTGAGCCTGTGGTGTGTGTGTGTGTGGGGGGGGGAGAATCATTGCAACAATAATATTTATTCCTAAAATACTCTGGTATTTTAGCTATTATGCTTGCATTTTGTATTTCCTGCAACACTTTCTACTCAACTGTATCACTTGGATTTTCAAATGTCATGGAATTATTACTCTTGCTTGCAATTATTTCTAAGAATATTATTGCAGTGTTAACCTCTTTAAAATTTACTAAATATAGTAATAGAAGGACTGTAACATGTAAATTTCCTTCTTGGGAAAAGCAGACACTTTTTTTGTACAGTGATGGGATTGTTTCAGTGCCTGGTAGGATATTTACAAAAAAGGTTTTTTAAAAAGTAGATGCTAAAAAAAAGTAGTATGCTAGAGTACTGTGGGGATACCTACCCTGGGACTTTTCCATGAATACTTCCTAGGCTTCCAGGCAGGTACTGTTCCAGATCATAGATAGTATGTATTAGTAAGCTGCACAAGAGACTAGCGCTGACAGTCTCTTGTGAAGTGCCTATTCATTTCAACAGAGCTTACACAGAAAACCTCCTTGAAGGATTATGTCCCAAAGGTCTCGGGGAGTTGTAATTCCAACAAACATAGGTTGATTACCATCACCATTCCTGTAAAATGTTTAGAAGCACCCTCCTGCCATTCCAGCTCCCCGTGGGGCTGAATACACAAGAAAGCACAGTTCTTAGTTTCCTTCCCTGATCCCAGATGGCAGGAGCAACACCAGCTGAGATTCCTTCCAAGTCCCTTCCAGCCACTCCAGAAGTTTCTCAGATGTCTTCTTTCTGAGGTCAAAATGTCCGACCTTGTGAACAGGGGAAATGAGCCATGATGTTTGAATGTAGTTCTTAGCAAGCAGATGGGGTGTGGATGCTTTGAATCCAGTCTTCTTAGACTCTGACTCTCCTCACAACATTGATAGATATTGAGATGTGTCCCAGAGCTGATCTAACACTTTTTTTTTGGTCAATGCTTACTATCTCCTCTTGGAGGTTCTGTTCTTTCCATAATCCTGGGTTGCTGCTGTGAGGGGGAAATACTGAGTTATTTTTGCTTGGAATGGGCAGATTATGTTCATTCTATATTAAAAGCAGGAGGAAATCAAAGCCCCCAGAAGGGGAGAAACCTTAACAGACTTAATACTTTCAGCATTTTTAGCAAGAGCCCAGGAGGGCTTTGAATGAAAAGATCCTTAGGAGTCTGTGCTATTTCATCTTTTTTTCCTCGTAAGATGGCACCCTTAGTGAGGACAGCTGACCTTCAGCCACAGGTTTAAAATCATGCTTAAAGCAGGAGAGTTAAGGTTTAGCTCAGGTACAGTGGTGCCTCGCTAGACGATGATAATCCATTCCACTGAAATCGCTGTTTAGTGAAACCATCGTCTAGTAAAAAGCATTTCCCCATTGGAATGCATTGAAACCTGTTTGATGCATTCCAATGGGGAAGAATTGTCGTTGTCTAGCGAAGATCGGCCATAGGAAAGCCGCTTTGTGAACAGTCGATCAGCTGTTTAAATAGCTCTCTTTCGAAGCTTAGGTCCCGAAAACACCCGTTTTGTGAGCATGGAGGGAGCTGTCAAAATCGTTGTCTAGTGAAAATTGGTTTGCGAAGACCTTCAGGCAGGCCTTTAAGCAATAATTTATCTGAGGAATGCTGGTTTTTTAATGTTTTGAATTGGTTTTACACCTTATTTTTTCATCTCAATGTATTTTTAATGCAATATTTGGTATATAGCATTTTTAAATTTGTTGTTTTATCTGTTGTGAGCTGCTTTGGGCACCCTATGGGGAGAATGGCAGCATATAAAATAATTTACATAAAAATAAAATATTGTAACGGCACCACAATATAAAGCATATTCAGAAAGCACCCTGAAAAACAACTGTTTGTATAAGGTGAGTTTTGAAAGCCTTTCTAAACCTTGATGTGGAAGCTTCAGCCTCTGGTAAACACTTCAACATCATTTGAGCTTGGATCAACAAACACTTCATCTCTGATACAAATGTTTCTTGAATGAAATAGATCTCTTCTTTCAAGTGTGAATTATTTTTATTTAGAATTTACAACATTTTAAAAATGCCTCTCCAATCAATGCTGTGATTTCCAATACAGCAGCAGAAAAGGAAAGCTTGATTAATTATCACTTAGTCAAGCGGAGCTCACAAAAGGGCTCTGTATCCGATGGAATAGGAAAATATGCAATAATTCTAAATTCACATCTCCTGGGCTATAATTGATATGGCCGCTATTTTTATCTGTCATCACTGTATACTTTGTAGTCCAGTTTAAATACTTTTTTTTACTTCAATACTGCCTCCACAAAGTGCTACTCTGCCACTTCTTTGGGTTCTCAAATGCTCTGTCACTGCAGCTGCATAAGCTCTGGCAGATTACAGTGCTGCCTTACTTAACAATGATAATTGTTTCCCAAAAAATCGCTGTTAAGCGATTTCATCGCTAAGCGAAACACCATTTCCCATAGGAATGCATTGAAAACCGGTTAATCCGTTCCTTAAGCGAAAATCGCCATAGGAAACATCGCTAAGCAAAACA